TAGTCGTATAGTTTGATATTGACATTTATTGTATTAAAGTTGCATGGCGCTCGACATTATTACTTTACTCAAACACATTGATTTAATTCCGAATTCACCCTAGCTCTCCAGACTGAAAAGCTGCCGTTCGCAGTGTGTTGCACTTAAAATTTATAATATTCAAATTTCTATTTTTTTATTTTTTTAAAAAATCAGACATCTCAGAAAAAGTGCGGCACAGGACTATGAACCAACTTATAACGATAAAACAATTTTCCTAAATCCAGTAACCCAGGACGAAATTAAGGATATCATATTGTCGTTAAAAGCAAATACATCACCAGGAATAGACGGAATAACGGTAAAACTATTGAAAGAAATAAAAGATCAAATAAGTCATCCATTAACATACTTAATTAATTTAGCGTTCGAGCAGGGTATCTGTCCAACTCAGTTTAAGGTAGCTGTCGTTAAACCTATACATAAGAAAGGCGAAAAAACTAGAGTGGAAAACTATAGACCGATTAGTTTAATATCAAATATAGCAAAAATTTTTGAAAAAGCCTTGAAAGGGAAAATAACAAAATTTGTCAATAAAAATAATTTATTACGTAATACACAATTTGGATTTAGAGAAATATGTTCTACTAATGATGCTATTGCATTATTGACTAGAAGGATTTCCAATAGTTTAAACGATAACCAAAAATGTGCCTGTGTATTTGTAGATCTAGCAAAAGCTTTCGACACAGTCAGCCATCAAAAATTGTTATCAAAGCTTTATGATATGGGATTTAGAGGTAAAGCCCATTTACTCCTTAAAAGTTACTTAACCAGCAGACAACAAATAGTTGAAGTTAATGGAAATAGAAGTGCACCACAAGAAGTTATCTATGGGGTGCCTCAAGGTACAGTATTAGGACCCATATTATTTATATTATATTTAAACGATTTACTTACCTTAAAAACGGATGGCAACATAATCTCATTTGCTGATGATACTGCTCTCTTTGTTAAAGGAAACGATTGGTTGGAAGTGGAAACTAGCCTAAAACGAGATTTACAAAAAATAACACACTGGTTTGATGAAAATCTTTTAACAATTAATTTAGACAAGACAGTGTATCTACCATTTTATAATTTTAAAAATGTCTTAGCGAATTTAAATCCTTTAAAAATAGATCTACCATTCCGTAGTACATCCTGGTCTTTACCTGTGTCATGTAGTGCCAAATATTTAGGAGTAACCATAGACTCAAATCTAAAATGGAATATACATATTAATAATCTGGTGAAAAGAATGAGATCACAATTATATATGTTTAAGTTAACCTCAAAAATACTTAGTGAGCGTGATCTTGTTTCACTTTACTACGCCCTAGTTCAATCTATATTAAATTACGGGATAATTGGATGGGGAGGAGCTTACACTACTACTTTGCAACCTTTAGTGGTAATTCAAAAACGTCTGATTAAACTAATATTTAAATTAAATCTACGATTTCCCACTGAAGCACTTTTCACTTACAGTAACTTATTAACTATAAGAAAATTGTATTATAAACAAGCTCTGATTCAACTTGTAAATACAAAGGAAATAAATATACCCTTAAACTATCACTTGCTTTTGAAATGTATTGTTCAGCTAAAGGTGTGGAAATATTTTTTGGGTTATAACATTTATAACATTTTTAATTGTTTTTTTTTCTCTCTTCCTTTCTTTTTGTCATGTAAAATGAAAAGAAAAAAATCATAGATGACGAGGCAAGCTTATTGCTTACCTACCTGACATACAGTGCCTGAGGAGCTGTCAAGTTTATCCTTAGCTTCTCATTTTCTGGATGTCCGGTACTCAGTGTGGCTTCCTCTGTTCATTTATTCATTTTTTTTTTTTTTTATTATTATAAAACAATAATTATATGAGCTGTATTGATATTGTTATTGTTATTATTACCTAAATTGTTTTATAAAGCGATACAAGTATTTAATACTTATCGCTTCGCACCACTTTATTTAATATTTGTTATTTTTATTATATCATATTATATTTTTATGGTACTTCTTTTTTAGGAAGAATCATATTTTTTTATTGTATATATAGATATGATTCATATACATATGTAATTTATTATTGAATAAAGTTATATTATTATTATTATTATTATTATTATTATTATATCTCTTGCAAGATCTTCAACCAACTCAGGCAATTTTTGACAAGCATAATTTGCACATAGACTGAAAGAATGACAAGTACATTTTAAAATAAATAAATTTGGTACATCATTTTTTAATTTTGTGGACAGTGAATTATGTATACCCATCATTGCACTAGCTCCGTCAGCGCCAAACCCGATTAAATCTTTTTTGTAATCTATATTGTGTTCTACGAAAAAGTCCCTAATCTTTTGGTAAAGTGCATCAGCTGTGGCCGATGCTACAGGTAATAATCCCAAAAACAAATCATCTGCCTTCTTAAAATTACAAACCCTAGCTACTAATGCCAAACTTTTTGTCCCACTTTTGTCTGTGGATTCATCGACAATTAGTGAAAATTTATTGTATTTTAGTAAATTTAAAGTTTTTTCAAAGCCACGAGCCCCAGTTACGTTGTTTATGATGGCAGTGGCTTTTGTTCGGTTATTGGTATACCCTTTAGCAATTTGAGAATCAAAAAAACTAACCCTAATGACCTCTGAAAGATGGTCCATTACATTGAACGATAAATTATGTTCCGCGGCAAAAGCTGCGAATCTAATTTCCGTTTTCTTAATGTTATTATTGGAATCTACATTAGTTTGAAATGTTGTCATAGACTTTAATGTTTATTGTTTAAGTAAAGATTTACTTTTATTTTTGTGTGCCGCCACTCCAGAATGTCTTAAAAGTTCGGATTTTCCACATACCAAATCCTTATTACATACACTTTTGGGCATACGACTTCTTTTTTCTTTTTTTTTCCTTGCAGTGTAACCTCCTCAGAAGAAGATGATGATGTTGATATATACTCTTCAACCTCTCTAGAACTAGAGGGTTTGGAAGTCATTTTAATTTTCCTAAGAAATAAATAATTATTATGTAAATACTTATTTCTAAGAGTCTAATATAAATATGAATAATTTACTACATACTTTATTTTAACGGTTTGTCACTTAAAACTTACAAAAATAATTTACTTAAAAAATTAAATGAAGTAATAAGACCAATCACAAAGTTTACGACAACCTACATCGCAACAAGATCTTTTACAAATACGGGGATTTACAGGTTCTTTTGTGAAGGTCGCCAAATAGGGATTTTCCCGGTATTTCGTGTAAATCCCCGAAATGGTAACGCCAATGTCGTTTTAAAAAATAACTGTGCCCAAATTTAAAATCTACTATTTCTTTATTTAAAGCTGCAAGCAATTCCAAATAGATGGCAGTGTCCATTCTTAAAAAACAACTGGGCCCAAATATAAAATCTACTATTTATTTATTTATTTAAAGTTGCAAGCAATTCCAAATAGATGGCGGCGTCCATGCTTAAAAAACATAAAATTAGATTGCGGAAAGCATTGAAAGCAATGTTTTATTTCTCAACATTTATTAAAGAGAAATAAAATATTTTTTTTTATTTAGTCATCGGATAAAATCGTTTTTGTTGAATTGCCCCTAGATCTTGGATCAAAATCCCTTTATCCCTGCCGTACATCAAAAATCCCTAGATTCGGGATAAATCCCTAGACCTGGTAACGCTGCACACACACAGATACAATGTATTTTTAATTTAATTTAACGATCCCGAAAACTCCCTCTATCAAAATTATATAATGATCAAAGTGATTTTGTTTTTTTTTCTATTTTTTAAAATTTTTGACCATTTTTAGATGAATTTTGTACCAAATTTAAAGTAATTCAAAGTTCAAAAGTTCTTTGAGCTACAAATAAGATTATATATGTTACGGTCAAAGATGATATTTCGGTCTTTAACGATATTTGCCGGTCATTTTCGTAAATCTTCTATTTGATTGGGCATTCTGCTGACGTTAGTGTCTGGTCAATATCGTCAGTGCCAAATTTAGAACACTACCCGTAACATATACACACAGAAACACGTGCACTCATGGCGCCCAAGCCTCAGGATCACTTCTTGTTGCTGGCCGCCGCGTCTCCATGACAAAAAAAAAGCATGTGAAGGATAGAAGATTATACGCTTGGATTTTGCATTTAAAACAATGCATTTTTATAATGGAATTGTGGCAATTCTAACGCATCAAATTAATTGAAATTTTAAAGACATTTTAAGAACATATAAATAAAGTCTGCTCTTCTTTCGTTTTGTTGATATTTATGAAAATATACGCGTAATAATTTTTTGAAGATGGACGAGTTCAAGCCGACTTTTAATTTTTTTAATGTGTCTTCTATTTATTTTTTGAAAATTTTGAATGAAGAGCAATCTAAGTTTCAGTTGTTTATATAACATCCGAATACTAGATCAGTTACAATCCCTTAATAAATATCCTATTTTCAAAAGTAAGAATCTCGTTAAGCTTTATTTCGGCCTGAGTTGAGCTTATTAGAATTGGAGGAAAAGTGTAAAATTTTAATTTTTCAGTATTTTCATTAGCAATGAATATATATAAAAAAAAAAGGTTCCATTTAGAGGTATGTGGAAAATGTATATATTTAGTTTATCTTCTAAACATTTACACAGGTGCTACAATAGGTTGTACAAAACAACCGGATAAGCCTGTAATAATTAGATAGGAAAGTCATGTGTTGGACACATCAGATTTTTAGTTTTCAGAATAGAAGAAAAGAAGTAGGTGATTAAATATTAGATTCATATCTTACGGCGAACAATTAGAGAAGAAGTATTCTACTTACCTACTTATCAGGTATGATTTTGTGGCATAACAATGAAATAGATAAGAATATTGCTAATTTATTGTTTTATCTCGATTAATCGGCATAAATAATTCCTCACTTTTTATTTTCAGGAAAAAAAAAACACTGATAAATAATTAAATTTGATCTCTCAAAAGTATAAATATACAGTACCAATTTAAGTAGTTCAGTCTACTTTTCAAAGTTAATTGATATAAATAAGGTGAGTAATATTTATAAAATAACATACAAAATAGATGAAATTGATAACTCATAAGAAGCATTTATACACAGGTATTATACCGGTCAAGATATAAGCAAAGAGTACAAAATATAACTTATTTTGTACTCTTTGATATAAGTGTAAAATTTTTTGTCAGTAAAAATCATTATTTGTTTTTGCCTGCTGATACTGATACCTGTACAGAGTTGTACTTAACAAGCAAATATAATTTAAAATCAAAAGAACGATTTACTGATTTAATTTTTTATTTATGAAATCTTAAAAATTAATAGAAAAATTATGTTTGTAAAACTTCTAAATCACTACCATCACCTTCCTCATCAGATTCACCGCCGTCGCTTACATTAATCTTAAGTCTTTTTAAAACTGGCACGTGTCGCATATATTCTCGTTTTCAACCTTTATTAAGGTACGTTTACATCTGACACTTATTTCACGACATAAATTATTAGTATCTGACACAAAATCGCACTCACTGATTACATCTAGACAGACATTAAAGGTTAAATCTGTGCTCCTCTGGAGACATTTTTTCAAAATTTGATTCAGTTTTTTATAAACAAAAAATACAAAACTCGACTTTTTTTCCCCATTTTCTTAATTTTTTTTTAGAAAAAACTAAATTTAATTTTGAAAAAGTGGTTCCAGATGAGCATAGATTTAACCTTTACCTACATGTACATATTTTTTTCTTTTAAAAATAGTCAAAAATAAACTTTAAAAGTGGGGTACTACGAAACCCTTACATTGCAAAATTTTTCGTCTGGACAGTTTTAAGAAATTAATATTTGATAATGAAAACAATTTATAATATATTTTACTGATGTTTTACGAGGGATAAATAAATTTTACCTATTTGTACAACTTATTTTTTAGATAAATCATTTCTGTAATACTAAGATTGGCATATATATTATATGCAAGGGTTTCGTAGTTTACGGATTATTTTTTATTTTTACCAAAAGAAAATTTATGTAAGTACAGGTAAAGGCTAAACCCGTACCTCTCTGGAGTCACTTTAAAAATTTGAATCAGTCTTTTCCGAAAAAATCTAAGAAAAGAAACGAAAAGAAATAGAAATAGTATAAAATGCTAGAAGGGAACAATATATTTACATTTTGCCTACAGGATCATTTATTTTTCTTACAATAAAAATAGAAATACATTGAAAGCTTTTTCGTCTAGAGGGTGACACCAACAAAATATATATATTTTTCTACTATTTAGTGAATTGAATTAATTATATTTTTTACACACGGTTATTTCGCTTAAGTATGTAAAAATAATTGTATCATTTATTTATTAAAAAAATTATCCGAAATTAAAAGGTATACACTGAGATGTGAATTATAAAAATATGTTTTTATTTGACTTTTATATCGCACGGCTTTTTTTTTGTTTAATGAATACCTCTTCGAGTTAACAATAATTATTAATTCCAGCATGTTAACAACTCTTCAAACCGTTAAAGTAATGTAAATCATTTTTCTTGCATTCGCACATGGCTTTGATCTGTCGCAATCTTTGAGGCGCGTTGCAAGAGAAGATTTTCTAAAATATAAGCCAATGTCTATGTATGACAAAAAAAAACGATTGTGACAATTGCTGATTGTGCAATGTGGCTCAATAAAAGACGAAAACGAGTCACTGCTTTAAAATTTGGAGAAATTTGTAAAAAATCAAAAATCTTTTATTTATTGCTAAAGCCCTCCGTTATGGTATGGACCATAAATTCAGAGTAAAATAAGATTTGGAAATTTATTTGCAAGAAAAAGTTTTTCAATGTAGATATTTTATTGAATACGAATTTGATTATGTTGCTGCAAATCTGGATGGAATTAAAAAAAAAAACAAATTCTATGATAGAGTTGAAATGTCCATATGGAGCTAGAGTTCTGACTATAGAAGAAAAAATATGCAGTAGAGGAATAACTTTTTTTTTTGGAAAAAGGTATTTTCAAATTCAGGGCTAGCTGCACGTAACACAAATGGATTTTTGCATTTTGTGCTTTTGTGCTTTTAACTTCTGCAGGAATAAAAGTGGAGAAAATTCCTCATAATTACAGCTTTTGGGAAAAAAGATACAAAATAAAATTCAAAATTTTTATATGCAATATACCTTGTCGGAACTTGTTGAGAGCGGAGCTAATAGAGACATTGAAAAGTACGAGACAGAATACTAAATAATTCGTGAGAAATTTTGTTTAATTTTTATTAACATAACGCAAGGAATCTTAAATTATTTTAAATATGTTTAATATGTTTATTAATTTAAGAATTACATTTTATTTATTTCTAAAAATGGTAGTAGGCGATCCATTTATGATATGATTAATGTCTTATTATTATAATACGCTTTTTTAAATTTAGGATTTTACCAGTGTCAGTGGCAATTGATGATATATAATTATTATTATACCCAATGTTTTAAAAGGCTACACCAACTAGTGGACCACGTTTTTAAGTCCCCAAATAATAATTTCAAGAATTTGATTCTGATTAGAAGTTTTACTATACAGGGTTTTGTGCCAAAACCAAGTCATGTATTGATATTCTAAAACGCAGATGAGTAACTATCACACAATAGAAATTGAAAATTCACATATGAATCTTTAAAACCTAAATATTTATAACTTTAATAACTTTATGCGGTCAAAAATTTTAGCAAACTTATTTAATTTTAAATATAAATTGATTTTCATTTTAACTTAGAAATTTTCGAAAAGTTCACTATATTTTTTAGTTGTTGCAACTTTATTGCGCTTAAGTAGCGTTCAGATAAAAATATGAATTGATTTAAGGAGCTTAACTGAAAAACGGGAACTAATGCTTCCATTCCAAAAAAGTATTACTGTCAATAAATATATCTCTGTTAAAGAATGGTCATAATTTATTTAATATATTCATTTAAACATGTTTTTGTTTTTTGTCTAGATGATATTAACTTTTTCTATATAACTTCTTATACCCGACATTGTGAGATAAAAAAAGAGACAATTAATTAAGAGCGTACTTATAATTTTTCGGGTATAGGAGTTTTAATATTATACTGTTTCCCAAATTATGAAAATACTAAAAAATTTAAAAAGCCAATTAAAGAATGTGTTAATATCTACAGAAGAACTTGCTTGACAACATCGTGTTTCTTTTTTGGAAACAGACAACAGTCGAAAATTATGAAAATAATAACATATTTTTATTTCAAAAAAATAATGGGTCAGTTTTTGTTTTTTATGTAAATTGTATTATTTTCAAGGCAATAAATCAGAAGGAAATTCACCGAAAACCGATTTCAAAAAGGTTTATTAGTTTTTTTTTAGAAAATGGAAAGAGAAAAAACGCGGAATATACACACATACATCACTGACACAATTTTTTATGTATTTACACTTATTTATACAACTGTCAGACATTAATATCATGCAATAAATGTCAGACGTAAACGTACCTTTCATGGTTTATACCATTTCTCCAGTTCTGAAAGATAATATTTGAGAACTCTTTCATTATAAGTTGGATTTATTTTGGTTATTATTTAGTTTTACTTGTTCTTTAAGTTGGGCCTATAATAGTTCAATCGGGTTCAAAACACAGTACTAAGGAGGTAATTTTAACACATTATAGCCATTTTTCTTAGCCATTTTGTCATTCCTTAGCGATTATTTTTGTATTTAGAACTTCTATAACTTGGGCCTTCAAAATATGAATCTTCTTCAATTAAAAATTTGTAATGGTTTCTTTGGTAGAATATTTGGTTGGAATCTTACAAGTTCTCCTTGTATGATGTAATACATTATCTAAGACAATCGCACTGTTTGGATGTAGTGCTGGCAACAGTTTTTCTTCGAACCAAGACTCGAAAAGATTTCCTTCGATATCCTGGTGATAATCTAAAGAGCTGTCTTTAATGCGTTTTGAGCTTAACAATAATGCATCATTTACCCAGACCTCTTCTCTACCACAGTGTAGTATGCAAATGCGTTTACCTCGAGAATGGGGAACTACCGCTTTACATTTCCAACTATCAGTTGTCCAGGCTTTACGAACAGTATCGTGGCTATCAAATCATGTTGCATCCAAGTAATAGATGTGCCTTCCTTCATTGCGATACTCCCAAATTTTCCCACTTTTCTAAACGACTAGATTGCATTATTGTTTGTCTTTTATTTACTGTTTTATATCTAAAACCATGTTTTGTTAAAAAATCTTCCAAGTGCTCTAACAGAATATACCTTAAGGACATGTTTTTTTTTAAATTCAGTTAGAATACCTCCAAAATACGGCATGATGTTTAGTGTGTACATACTGTATGTTGTTTCACATATTGGCTCTAACCGATGTGAATTGATTCGTATAGAATTGCCAGAATTTCTTTTTCGTCTCCATGCCTGGCCTAGTTTTATGATTTTGTATACTGTAGCCTGAGGAGTATTTGTTAGAAAAAACATTGTTTCCTGGATAGCATCTTTTCGGGGCATCCTTGACTACAAATAACATTTTTAGCGTCTTCTGATAAATGTTTAACTATGTAACCTATATTTTGCGAAATAGGTGCTGGTAGAACATCTACCCAATCTGAAAATTAACTTGTTTATGGTTGATCTGAACTATAATGTGTGTTAGAAATGAGTTGATATGCTACATTCTTACATTCGTGACAGCAGCGCAAACTAATGCATGAACTAAAAAAATAATATTTGCGTATATTGATAATATAAATTTTAATTAAAAGTATATTTTTTGGTTTTAATAAGAGTAAAAGGATTTATGAAACAAGAGATTAATTTTTTATTATTACTATACTTTTACTATTTAAGCTACTACCACTTGAGGGGGGTAAATAAGTTAGTTACTACTGTTCATGTGGAAAATCCCTCTCGGGTAGTTTCCTTGAAATTGTCACTCATCTAAGTTAACTGCGTGCGGAATTGCTTAACTGCAGATATTGATACACAGAAGTGAACCTGCCGCAGCCTCTTTTGTGTAGTTATTTTTAAGCAATTTAAATATTTTTTTGAACATCCTCATAAAGAATAGACTATTGAGATTAAGATTAGGGCATTTTGGATGTTGATAATTTATTTTTGTGACTTGAAATTCGAGTTTTTAGTGTATATGTGAGTTATTGTTTCATTTAATAAAAAAACTATATATTTTTTTTTAGATTTTTCAAAATGAGGATAACTTTATGCCTTGCTTTTTTGATGTCAGCTGCCCTAGCAGCCAACAGTAAAATAAATCCTCTCTCAGATGAGTTCATCAATCACATCAACAGCCAACAAAATGACTGGAAAGCCGGTAGAAATTTCGATAAAAACATCCCCATTAGCGAAATTAAAAAACGTTTGGGTGGTCTTAAGTCCCTTTCAAAATCAAAATCCAAACCTACTGTCCACAGTGAAGACATAGAAATTCCTGAGTCGTTTGATGCACGTACCCACTGGCCAGAATGCTCAAAAGTTATTAATGATATTGTTGACCAATCTAACTGTGGTTCCTGTTGGGTGAGTACCTATACTGCCGTCCTGCAAATTTAGCAGTTTTTTCAATCGCTTTGCTTTTGCCTACATTTTGTCTTTCTTAATACCTAAACGGAATGTTCTATTTGCGTCGTAAAGGTACTAAAACGTTAAACAGTTTCACAAAAAGGAGGTTTATAAGGCAACAAATATATGTCTGAGAAAAATAGTTAAAAACTCGATTATTTCCAAACAACAAATGTTCAGATAGTACCTTTCTTGCTAGAACGGCAGTATATTTTTATCACCTCCCTCATCTACTTGGATTTGATACTCATCGTATGGGCATTTTACTTCAAGATTCCATTATGTTAGATAGTGTTTGATCTACTCATTTTGAAACAATTTCGGTACTAACGCGCAATTACGACTTTTTTTATTGTTTTTATTTTTTTAAATGTTTTATTCTAGATAGCACTTTTAAGATAAAATTTAGCAGAGCCATTTTTTCATTGTGTAAAACAGTTCAACCGAAACGTTTTTCAGGACATCGGGGTAGCTATTCTTGAATCTTGGGGAGTAGAAATTTTAAGGGAAGAATGAGACAAAAATGCAAATTTAGTGCGTTGCAGATAAAGAAGAAAAACCGGTTTTCTACTCCCTTGAATTCAACAATAGCTACCCTGGTTGTTGGCACATCGCTACAGAGTCGGCATGACGGCATGGTCACTTTCGTTTGAACGATTCTGCCGTAACCATCTGTGTTATGTTTTGTGTTATATTTCGATTTGAATGCGATATATTGAAATAAAACATGGTCTGACAAAAGCTACTAAAATCGTGGTAAAAACTCGTAATTAATATTAGTGATTTATACCAAAGTGTAGATAAAAATATAAGGTCTGTTCCAACCCAACTGAAAACCATACATCGTACGGTCATCGTCATGCGCAGTAAATAAAGTCCATTCCATCCGAGAATTGATTCATTGTATTGCCAATGATTTGGTAAATCTGAAACAAGGAATTCATTTTTCACCCCCTTCTCAAAGAAAAGTTACCAGTAAACCATCTCCTAAAGAAATTAAAGATCCAGTTTATATTCAAAAACACATTACTCAGGAAACTAAGTCTGAAACGGAAAATAAAAAAGGAGAAAAGAAGGAAAGCAAGGAGCCCAAACCTACTAGGGAAATCCGTTTGAGATCCGACGGGGCTACTATACACAGTACATCGAAAAAACCGTATTCGATTTAATACAGAACTCTGCTAAAAAGTCAAAATAATTTAGGACCTGTTTAGTCTGATAGATAGGATAAGTTTTTATTTGTTTTTTTTTTCAATGTATTTCGGTATTTGTAATAAAATACATTTAATGGATCTCTATGTACAGGGTGGGCCAACGAAAACTTTACACCCTTATTTTCAGGCTTTGAAACGATAATCGGGAAAAAAGCTAGAACCAGTCGATTTTTAATTCGAGGAGGAACAACTTGTTTGATTTTTTCATCCATGTAACTTCAACCCTCTAACAGGGGGAAGCACAACCCCCTGTTTTTGAATAGGGGCGAGGGGTGTTGTAATACCTCATTTTGAAGGTATCATCAAGTACTATCTGACCCCAAAATTTCGCGTCAAACTTTTTACCGATAACAGCTAAAACAGTGAAAGAGACAATGTGGAAAAAATGTCTACTTAATAACAAACAAAAAGAATACTTACTTCTGTGATTAGTTTATTAAATGCTGGTAATGGTCACCATTCACTTCCATGCAGTAAAATAAGTTTTGTTTACCTTAAGGATAATTATTCTTATCAGACTGGTATTTGAGAAGTATTTATTTTATATTTTATGGATGCACCATTTACTCGATTTACCTCAGTTCATCGTACATTTTTAAGAACGTTGCCATCGTGTCTACTCGATTGACATTTTTTTAGTAGAAAATAGTATATTCCGTGGGAGAAAGGGTGGAAATTATTAAATTGTTTATTAGAAATAACAAGCGAGAGCAATTTTATTTAACGAACGTCATCCTGAAAAAAATGTCTCCGCTGCTTACGTTTTGCAACTGGTTTCCAAATTTGGTGCCAACAAGATGATCGTACAACCTGTTCGTCAAATTTTGGATGAGAATTTTCCTCACAGCTGGATTGAAAGAAGGGGGCATATTGAGTTGGCACCCAGATCACCTGATCTGAATCCACTGGACTTTTTTCTAAGGGGTTATCTAAAATCTAAGATTTACGCTACCCTGTCGGAATCACTGGATGATTTGCAAAATCACATAATTAATTAATGTCGTCAAATTACACCCGACCTGTTACGTAATGTACGAGAACGTTTTGAATAAAACTTATTTTACTGCATGGAAGTGAATGGTGGCCATTTCCAGCATTTAATAAACTAATCGCAGAAGTAAGTATCCTTTTTGTTTATTAAGTAGACATTTTTCCATAATATCTCTTTCACTGTTTTAGCTGTTATCGATAAAAATTTTGACGCGAAAGTTTGGGGTCAGATAGTACTCGATGAGATCTTCATAATGCGGTATCGCAACACCCCTCACCCCTATTTAAAAATTAGGGGGTTGTGCTTCCCCCTGTTAGAGGGTTGAAGTTACATGGATGAAAAACCAAACAATTTTTTTGCCCCTCAAATCAAAAATCTACGGGTTCGAGCATTTTTCCCGATTTTCATTTTAAAGCCGGCAAATTGGGGTGTAAACTTTTCGTTGGTCCACACTGTATATTAAAGATTTTATTGTTGAAAAAGTGGAAGATTTCAGTCTAAATAATTACAAAGAGTTGCATGATATTTTATCGATAAATAGAAATTCTGCTAATTTTAAAATTATCCATAACAATATCAGAAGTTTAAACAAAAATTTGGATGAATACAAACTTTTTTGAATGACCTGGACATGAATGTCGATGTATTGTGTTCATAGAAACAATAATAATTGAAGACCTGGATGTGTTTAATATTCCTGGTTATTCCATTATTTACAATAGTGGTACTCTAAATAAATGTGATGGAGTAGTGATTTTCTTAAAAACATGTTTCAAATATAGATATAAAATATTTCCCCTATGCGATACGAATGCTCTTCGGGTAATAATATCAATAAATGAATATAAAAATATAATAGTAACAGCCTATTACAGATCACCGTCATCTGTAGCCAACAAGTTCATTGAACGTTTGCAGGAATTTCTACGAGAAAATGATAAGAATAATGAATACTGTCAATTTTTTTAAGGTAATATCAACATTGATTTAATGGTTGACACGGAATGCACTAATGACTATCTGAGTGTGTTTAGTGAATTTGGTTATAGCTCAATTATAAATAGACCAACAAGAGTTCAAGGAAACTATAGGGCATCTCTTTGTATAACTGTGATTGTGTAATTAGTATAATCACCAGTCACTTGAGTAATATGGAAATAAAGAGAGCTTGGTTCTACTTCAGCCATTTATTAATAACTGTCATTATACAATTCAGATCAATGTCAACTGTCCACTTGCAGGCGGTGTCACCAGAGTGGGCCACTGGCCTTTTACTACTTAACATCTTCCTTTTACAGATTCAGCCTCTCAGGAGCTTTTACCGTACGACCTGAGAAAGTAGTTGTTGGCCGATTTACATAAGTCTTCTCAGAGCCATTAACTCTGTGCGTTTACGGTATTACCCTCACTTGACACTACTTCTAGTTCCGAACTTTCTTCAATTGTTTCATATTTAGCACTTTCACTTTTTGCATTGTCACTTTCTTCATTCACATCATTCTGTTCTTCCTCTTCTCTATCTTCTTCAAAATCTAATTCTATAAAATATTTTCTACTGTCTAATTCCCTTTCTTCAATTTCAGTTTGTAATGGAACATGGTTCAATGTGAACCTGATACTGTAACAAAAAAATTCTTGGACATTATAACATCCTCATAATAAAAATTTAAAAAGTGAATTCAAAAATGTAAAAAATTATATAAAAAATTTAATTAAAAAGTGCAAATATACATACTATCAAAATCTCATAAATAAAAATAAATCTGATTCATAGCGACTTTGGAAAATTATTAAAGATATATCAAATTGTAATAAAAAGATTCCTGAAATAAAATCAGTGAAGGATGAAGTGGGAAATTTACTAACAGGTCCAATCCAAATAACCTATCAATTTAATAAAATATTTGTAAAAATAGGAGAAACTCTAGCAAAACAAATTATATAAGACCCTCAGTATATTTCTCCAAATAGTTTTTGTGTTGTACCCCACTGATGCAAAAGAAATAAGAAATATAATAAATAACCTAAAAACAAAAAAAGCACCAGGGATCGATGAAATTAAAAGTGATATTTTAAAAATCGTATCACCCTATATTGAAGAGCCTTTATCACATGTTTTTAATATTTGTATGGAGAATGGTAAATGGCAATTTTTAAAAATGGTGATGCAAATAATGTAATAAATATCGTCCGATATCTCTTATATTTAGTTATTTCAAGGTATTTGAAAAAGTTTTGGAAACTCGCCTAAACTCATACTTAACTAAATACAATTTAATATCAAACAACCAATATGGTTTTAAGAAAAAGAAATCCACAGAAGATGTGATTTCGGCGTTAACACAAAAAATATATGCATCATTAGACGCCAGTAAACCTTGCTTATGCGTGTTTCTTCATTTATCAAAGGCATTTGACACGGTAAGCCATCACATTATCCTGCAAACATTGGAAAATATTGGGATTAGAAGCATTTCATTAAATTCATTTACTGTCTATTCGAATGAAAGAATTCAAACCGTAAGGATAGCCAATAGCGGCAGTAATTTCATGCCCATTAAATATGGTTTGTCCCAAGGCACTATCTTAGATCCGCAAAAGTTTTTTTGTTGACATTTTTTAACATTTTTGACTATAAAATTTGGAAAACCAATGTTTTCTTAATAATAAAGCTACTCTCGCTAGGACGCACCATTTTCAAGAAAAAACCATTTGAAAATTTCATGATGAGTGTAAACAATAATTAGTAGGCCTGTGAAATCAGAAATTTTATTTTTTTTTTACTTTGGAAAACCGGTAACTAAAGAAATTTTAGAAAATATTTACAAAAATGTGCCATCAGGACTTTACTTGTAACACCCTGTATCTCGAAAACGAAACGTTTTCAGACCTATGTTTATATGAACTTTTATTCCTATTTTAGGATGTAGATTACGATGTTAAAATATAACCGTCTAATTTCGGGACACCCTGTATACATAGTTTAATTTCGATTAAGCCGAAAAGTTAAATTTTGGGGTTCGCAGATGACACGGCGATTTTCTATACTGCTGATAAATGGAAGCAACTGAAAAATATGGTTGTAAACGATTTTCCTACAATATAAAATTGGTTAAACTCTAAATTCCTAACAATAAACATTGAAAAAACCTTTTCCATACCTTTTTTCTGTAATAAATCAGCAGATCCCTCCTTCGATCAACTAAATATTACCAGTAACAACCAATATATAATAAATTCAGTAAGTGACATGAAATATCTAGGTATATATTTGAACTCGCATATGAGATGGGATGTACATATTTTTTATGCTTGCAAAAAACTAAGCTGAATTCTCTATAAGTTTAAATATTTAACAAAAATATTAAATGTTAACCAACTTAAAATCCTCTATTATGCACTGGTTGAGGGTCACCTCAGATATGGTCTTCTTATTTGGGGTAATGCACTGAAAGCTCACCTTCATCCATTAGAGATTTTACAGAGAAGATTTTTAAAATTAATATATAAAAAGGACCTGAAATTTTCCATTGACCAATTATATATTAAGGCAAAAATTTTTGATATTCGTCAGCTCTATTATTTCAAAATTGTTTTTTCTTACTACTAATAAGAAATTCGCTTACCTTCACACACTACACACGGAATAAACAATTTCAAATAACTACCTATATGCAAAAATCAATTGGGCAGCGTTCCTGTACATACATGAGTCCAAAATTGTTTAACACGACCCCACTACAATTAAGAGTAATAACTAATCCGCATACATTTAAAACATATTTAAATTAATACCTATTTGAACAAACTCGACAATCAATAATTTGTATAGTTGAAAATTCCTAGATTCAGCATTCTCTATTTGTATATATTAAATCTTTCTGAGCTTTAATAACGGTTTTTTTTTGTATTTATTTAAATTTTTTTAATCTAAATATATTTTAGGGGCGTGCGGTCCATGGAAGCGGGGGAAGCACCGCTTCCCCACACTTTGAGATTTAAAACTAGATATTTTTCAGTTTACAATGCGTAGAAATTAATATTAAATAAGGTACTATATTTTCTCTGAAACATTACGTAAACTTCGTAAATGTACTAACAATTCATTTATGTAATGTGTAAATGCACGCACCACCCATGAGAAAATTAATTGCGCAAACGTACAACGTACACACCATATACTTCGAGTCCGTCGGCGCAAGCGCGTCTTGAAAGAGCCGCTTCATCTACCAAGAGGTTTCGCTTCGTGTTATTGACCCTGCTTTGCCGCGACAATAGTCAGTCCCATGGAGGAAGGATAATTAAGAGTTGCCGTTTCTTTAAAGAAATATGGCAACAGGTTTGCTTGCAGCGCCACCGGTAAGGGATTTGTCCAACTATTTCTCAGTCTGTAATATAGATACCTGCATATTTTATTTTATTTAAAAATTAGCGGGATTTTGTTTGTAGCTCTACTTTAATTAGTATAACTAAAATTTTGCATTTTTATTGGCATTTTTTACAACACAGACAAGGTGCAAGATGTAACAAAATGCCAATCAAAATGTAAAATTTTATGACCCATAATTTTAGGAAGGGTAAAATAATGTAATATAAAATAATTGTATTATCTATTATATCATTAAAACTAATTTATAATAAATTTTCTAAATAAACAATATTTTAATAAAACAACTAAAACTTTCTGTAAACTTGGGTAGGTAACAAAACACATTAAGGAGAACCATCCATATAATCTGAAACAGAAAAAATTCAAAGTAGTATTTTAACTTCATATCATTTTGAATCTCTTTTTTCTTTTAGACATTGTCACAGTTTTATACTTTCATTATAATATTTTATAATTAATAATGGTAGTCCCTTCATCTTTTAATTAGATGTAGTACTTTTAAAAAAACAGATGTCTGCGGGATCAAGCTTTGAGGTCCTTCTTTGATTCGCAAATTTTACTTTGCTGTTTTCTAATTATAAAATAGAGTTTTTTCTCCCTTGGAGCTAACCATTCACTGGATTGATTTAAAAATCCAAGAGCTAATTATTGTTTTTTAGATAATAATTATATTTCATTGGATGACATTTTAATCGAATGTAACTTTCTTTTCACTGGTAATTTGTTTGACGGCATGATAACAATATTACTTTAGTATTACTCGTCGTCAAGTTGTGTGGATTAGTACTAACCATCCTAGCCACAAGTGCGTCAGTTGAGCGAGGCTTTAAAGCGCATTAAAAGTATTATACGAAATTCAACAAGTGAAGACAGACTCTCTAATTTAGCCCTAATATCCATTGAAAAACAGCTTGTTAAACAGTTATCAGAAAATCCAAAATTTTACGACGATGAAATTTGCAACCATTGAGGATAGGTGAATAGAACTTAAGTATAAATAAATGTCACTGCTGTGTCAACTGTGCAAAAAATGCTAGAAAAAATAAAAAAAACTTCAGTTAAATGTTTTTTTTTTACGTTTAAATAAACCAAGGAAGCTTTTCAATGGTAAGTTTTTTTTATAGCTTCTAGTACTAAAATAGGTAATAAAGTAATAATAACACTTCAAAAATCTCAATCTCGAATATCCGTAGTACTGAGGAAAAAAAGAAAGAATTTGACAAAATCGTGAATGCGCCGCAAAAAATTTTCGTCTGCGGCGCTGTGTTTACTGGCCTACTGTATTTTTATACACTCGCTTCCTCTTCCAAAAATATCACCGCACGCCACTGATATATTTGTTTATACATATTAAGCTATACTAACACTTCCTGATCTTTGTAATTTTATTATCTATAATTTTTTTTGTATTTATGTTTATTTATTTTAAGTTTTTCTATTTTATTGTTTATATGTTTGCAATTGTATCTAAGCAAGGGAAAAATTCACTTATCAATTTCTTTTTATTTATTTATACCTATCTCAAGATTGTATTATTATATTTTGTAAATTGGTGTATATAACCTATTTTACAGGCTGTATCAGCCGCTTCCGTTATGAGCGACAGACGATGCATTGCATCCGGTGGTTCCCTACAAGTACCCGTTTCTGCTGAAGACGTGATCTCCTGTTGTCACACTTGCATCATTTTTGAGAATGGCTGCCAAGGAAGTTATCCAGAACTAGCATTTGACTACTGGTTTGAAAAAGGTGTAGTCACTGGAGGCCAATACAACAGTTCATTGGTACGTACATAAAAAAGTTTTTAACTATTTTAGACATAGGGGGTTATGATTGACAACCTGTGTTATTTTTAACAGGTCTGTTATTTGTTAAACACACAGAAATTACAACCTGGCCACAAATAACGTGTCTGTTAAATATAACATTACTTGTCGATCATAACCCCGATAATTTTTGTAATATGTTCATTTTTAAGGGTTGCAAACCTTATGCGCTGCAACCCTGTGATCGTCCCAGCGTAGTTGATGGTAAATACGTGCAGTGTTCAACTTTGCCAGAAGTTACCGAAAAAAAATGTATGAGAAGTTGTAGTACAAGTGGCTTGAATTATAAATCCGAATTAACCTATGGTAAATCTAAGAGAGAAAGGTTTGCAACAGTTGAGGATGTACAGAGAGAAATTTTACAAAATGGACCGGTTGTGGCTTATTTAACGGTGTTTGAAGACTTCTTGAGTTATAAAAGCGGTGAGTTTTATTAAAAATTATCAAAATACAAACATCTGACAAGAAGGTAGATACAATATGTTTGACATCATTTAAATATATCCATTTATGGACCTTTAATAACATACGGTTTAGTTACCTGAGTACCAAAAATTGACAACTAAACTAAAACAAATACAAAGCCACCCGTATCAAAATAAAAGAAGCTATGAAATATATTCTTTTAACCTCACTCCCCTTGATATTTATATCAGGGAAGTTCTAATGACAATATTATGATTCCGCACCGTTGGAATGGAATCTGGTGAAGGATGTTGAAAAGCTGAAGAGTTGCTAGGGAGGTCTTAAATTACACCCTGGCAACACAACAGCAGATAAATATTGTAATATATTTTCAAGAGAAATCTCCCAAATAAAATTAAATATACTATAACATTCACAGTAGAAATACAAACGAGCATAAGCTTTGAAAAACAGGTTAAAATTTAGGTTAAAAACATGAAAACAAGAAGATGGAGATCCACCAATGTGCGTAAGCAGCTGTCGGGTAACTGTAGACTAGGTACAGCTGGTTGAGTACTATACTAATAGATGGCACTAGATGTCACAAATACTTGGGTATGACTATATGTATATAATGTGTGTCCCAGCTTAGGCACACTGACTATGCTAGCTGACTAGCTAACAGAGATCTTATTGATTCAGAAGAACTCTCAATTACCCTGGTCTGATCTATGTTCTGTGTATAGCAACCGACTATCACCATCTTATTACAGTAAACTATTAGCTCTGTATTTTGCGTGCAGAAAATGGATATAACATATAGGTAAAGAAAAGATTAATACATGTAGGTATTTGACATATTGTTACATCGATGACTTAACTCAGTAAGTTTAGACTTTTTCCCAAAATATATGTACTTATTGGATGGTTTGCTTTAACACTTTGATAGACAAACCGTTGTATGAAGATATTATAGTAGGATAATGCAACAGTAAAAATTGTTGGATGCAATCGTGGGCGCCATCTACTGACGATTTAATAAAGTAGTCAATTTTTAATGCTATGCAGATACGCCCCCTACGTCTTTTTTTCGATGAGGCACGTGTCCTTTACTCTGTATCACCTACCTATTAAAGGTAAAAGCATATCTTTATTTAAAAATAACAATTCATGATAAAAGACATAAAAAATTAAACAAAATAATGAAAATTTATTTTAATTGACAAAACCGTACAAATACAATTTTTGGATGAAGGTGATAAAAAGTGGTTAAGGACTTTGGTCAATATTTTGGTTATGTGCGGTTATGTCAATATTTATAAACAATAACAAACCATAGTCTTCGCTTGAATAAATATAATATTTCTAGGTGTCTATTATCACGTTGCTGGAAAAGAGGCAGGTGGTCATGTAATAAGAATTATTGGATGGGGTACCGAAAACAACGTTGCATATTGGATAGCTGCTAACTCTTGGAACGACGAATGGGGCGATGCTGGTCTTTTTAAGATCAGAAGAGGTGTTAATGAATGTGCCATTGAAGAAAATATATATGCAGCGCAACCTAAACTTTAAATAATTATTATATTTCAATAAAATTGCATTTATTTCCTAATATTTTTATTTATTTTCACATTACTGCGCTTAATGCAGATCACTTTATAGGTTCTGAGTTTCAAGTTTCAAGTGTGTTAGATACACGATGAATGCCATTTTACAGGTGTTTCAACTGTTTTTAAAATACGGCACCAAACAGTGCATAGTGTAAGATGTTTTCTTGCCTCTAAGAAAATATAACCCTTACAAGTGACATCCTGGGACTCGGAAGTACTCGAGCGCCAGTTTTATTAATGTGGTTTGCTCCACAACACAGGCAGCTTCTAGTGGAGATGACGGAAAAACTCCAGGGGTCTCGTTGATGTCATACTATAAACATAAGAGGGTAACAATAACTGGCTTTATTCGTTATTGTTACGTTAAAGAATTGTCGAAAGCTGAAAGATTTTACCACAGAAATAACAAACGATGACAATAATAAAAATCTGATGTATCCAACACATGACTTTCCTATCTAGTTTCCGGTTATTTTGTACACCCTATTGCAGCACTTCTATAAATGTTTAGAGGATAAACTAAATATATACATTTTCCACATACATTTACCTCGAAACAGTTTTCTATGGATATTCATTGAAAACGAAAATACTGAAAAATTTAAATTTAGCACTTTTCCTACAATTTTTTCAATACGGTCCATTTTAGAAAAATCATGTAAAAACAAAAATTATAGAGATCGATATCGCAAACAACTTTTAGTTCAACAATTTTTATAAAAATCAGAATTTTGCACATTTTGTCAAATTTCTCGAATACGGACCATTTCAGGAAATTTTGACATAAAGCAAAAATTATAGATAATAATATTAGAAGTAATTTTTATTTAAACAATTTTCTTCTTCAAACATAAAAAACAGATATATTCCATAAAATATAAAAACTGCCTCCCATAAAGTACCCCCCCCCCCAGATGTTCCGACTTTGTCCAAAATCTAATCATTTCACGTCAGGTCGAAATAAAACTTAAATTTAAAATTGTATTTTTTTTCTTTGTCCGTTTTTTGAGTTTTCTTCAAAATTCTAAATTTACACATTTCCTCAAATATCTCGAATACGGACATTTTAGAAAAATTATGTATGGGATAAAAATTATAGAGAATTATATTACAAATAACTTTTATTTGAATAATTTTTATAAAAATGATTTTTTTTACATCTTGTCAAATTTCTCGAATAAAAACCATTTTGGGAAAATTTTGTGTAAAACAAAAATTATAGATAATAAGATTAGAAGTAACTTTTATTTAAAGAATTTTCTTTTCCAAAGGTAAATAATAGATATATTCCTTAAAATATAAAAATGATCAGCCATAAAGTACCCCATCAGTTGTTCCGACTCTGCCCAAAATCTAGTCCGTTCATTGGACGCTGTAACAAAGCTTAAGTTTAAAAGTTGGTGTTTTCCTGTGTATCTGTTCATGAGTTTTGGTGGATACACACACACACACCACACACACACGCACGCACGCACGCACGCACGCACGCACGCACGCACGCACGCACCCACGCACGCACACACACACACACACACACACACACACACACACACACACACACACACACACGCACGCACGCACGCACGCACGCACACACACACACACACACACACACACACACACATCATGATTCCTATACTTTCCTTATATCTATATACAGATAGAAAAGTAAAAATGTAAAAATAAAAATTTTACAACCATTTTCTGTTCTATAAATTAGTAAAATTGACAGTAATAGTGATTTTATTAAATACCTTCGTGAATAAGGTTCGAAGGGCTAGGGCCGGAAAAGCAAACCGGAAGTCAAACAAGCTAAAACCGGGACGCAAAGCCTAACTTAATACCTCAATTCTAAATCATTTACGAAAGATGTTCATTGGCATAACTCATTCCCAGAAATCTTTCTAAATCGGTAAAATTATCCCATAAAATCCATTGGCCTGACCCTTGTCATTCACACGGCTTAGTCCTGCGGCTGTAGGTTCCATTTTAGTGACAAATGCCCGCCAATATCGATGTCAGGTCATTTACCCTTCGGCCTTTGTCTTTGGTAAATAAATAAAAGGAAACAAGAAGTGGAAGGACCACAACTGGAGGACGTTGCCTCTTTTCACGCTAATCCTCGCTAGAGTCCTGAAAATTGTTATCCTTGAAACGCGAACGAGGTTGTTTCGAGAGTTTATCGCTTGACATACTGGCAGAATTTGTGTGCTTTTATGGTTTAAATTTTAAATGAACACTTTTTTCAAAGAATCCTTTAGTTTACTTTTATATTGCATTTAAATTTCTAATACCTGCTCGTAAAAAGCATCAGATATTGTATTATTTAATTTGTTTTATTGAGTCCTTGAAAATTACTATTAGAAGAAGAATGATATCACAAAATTTATGTCCAGTAATAAACATTCCAAGAATTTAGTTTTATCTATACTTTTAGTGTTTATGCTATAGCGATATTTTTGGATATAGTGCAGGCATTCGACGGATTCTCGCATAAGGGATAATTAAATAAATTGGAGAAAATGTTAGCAAAACAACATAATGAGATTTTAAAATCTTATGTCACTGGTCAATACATCAAGTCAAATAGGTGTACCACAGGGTAGCGTGCTAGGAACAGTACTTTATTTGTTGTACACAAAATGAACTTGTGACAATAAAACTAAAGATAAATTTGGAGTGAGGGTAGCCATATGTGAGTAGTAGGGATTAAGTGTAAAGGTTACACTTAAAGATAAATTCTAGCAGGAATGTACTGGAATGAAACAAGACGTGAAAAACAAGAATAAATGAGAGTAAATCATTCATCAGCTTTTCCCATAAAGAAAGGAAATAATTGCCAAATATTCATAATTAATTAGAATATACCACACTACAAAACAGTAAAATATCTGGGAAATGAATAAAATGGAAATAACATATATACCCTAATTACAACAGTGCAGAAACACCTAAAAATGTACATGTCACAAAACACAGAACGTGTTTAAAAAATAGATATGGAGAGGGTAAATAGGACATTTACAGACAGAGAACCTATCAGGATAATGGAGAGTTTGCGCATTTGAATCATATTAGGATTGTACTCAGTTTTTTATTAATTCAATAAAAATATACATTATAATTATTAAATGTAGAATACTAATAATTTTAACTTTCCTGTCTGTATATAGTTAATATTTACTTTTTTCTACAAACGTCAAAAAATAACAAGGTTCGCGCATTGACAACAATATGCGAAGTGACCCTTTTTTTCATTTTCCTTCATTACCATGACACCGTGCGCGAAGTAGTGTGCGAAATACTTACTTCGCACACTGCATGTAAACTATAAGGGATTTTTATATATTAACTTTTATGTTCCTCAATCAAGCAAAAATCCAAGAAATCATTTATTTATTAATGTATAACAATAATTAAGGCTTTCAAATTGTGAGAAAATTTAACACTATCTAATTTTATTTATTATTTACAATGTTAACATTAATGGTGCAGCCAGTGCACGAACCAATATTTTTGACGTTTGTAGAAAAAATTTTGTTTGCATCTCATGCGCGAAATACTTTGGTGATCTCCACTATTTTCTTAACTCGGCTGCGCCTCGTTAAAAAAAATCAGTTCTCGATCACCAAAGTAGCATTTCGCGCACTAGATACAAAAATAACTATTTTCGACCTCAACTTTTTGACGGACTTTTACGTTTTGAAGTCCCCTGTCAAAACGGAGACTATTTACGCGATGATGTCTGTACGTGTGTGTTTATCTCTGTATACTCGATAAGTCATGAAAAGATAGAAAGAGAAACTCAAATTTCAAACTTAAGCTTTATTCCGGCCTGTGGTGAGCTGATTAGATTTTGGGCAGAGTCTGAACATCTGGGGGTACTTTATTAAGGACCGTTTTTCTTCTTTATGGAGTATATCTGTTATTTAGGCTTAGAGAAGAAAATTATTTAAATAAAAGTTGCTTGTAATAATATTCTCTACAACTGTTGCCCTATACATAATTTGTCTAAAATTGTCCGTATTCGATAAATTTGATAGAAAGTGCAAAATTCAAAATTTTGAGATAATTGTTCAAATAAAAGTTGTGATGTTATTCTCTATAAATATTATTATGTACATAACTTCTCTAAAATGGTCCATTTGGAGATGTAAGAAATTTAGAATTCTAAAGATACCTCAAAAACGGATAAAGAGAAAAACACCAAATTTTAAATTTATACTTTAATCCATCCTGCGGTGAACTGATTAAATTTTGGGAATAGTCGGAACATCTGGGTGGGTACTTTTTGAATAAAAATTCACAGGCCGGATATTTTAGGTCAGTAGTAGAGATATTTTAATTCTGTAAAAGTCAGTTTACAGAGAACTAAGAGAGCTTCAGTTTTTAGTCCAGTAAATGAAGGAAAAAAGCTGCAGATAATTCCTACAATTTTCTTATGGGGTGGCATTTGTAGGTCTGTCAGCGTACTTTTAAATGCCAAATTGGCCTGGAGCTGAACCCGACCTCTGTAGGGGAAAATGGGCCCTGAAGGCCCATTTTGAGGTTTTCCGCTGTTATCTTCCAAAATATACAATTTAGAGATTTTTTGTTCAGATAAGAAATGAAGATCATCTGAATTCCTACAAAAATGGTCCTTATGATTTTTTTCGCCAGATTGGTATTTTTCGCGCAAACGGAGGAACAAATGTGAGCGTTTTTTCGTCTCCCGCCAAGTATACAGGAGCGTGCTTTCTATGGTTTGGATGACGCGCCTTGGAATAAAATTTCCAATAACTCGGTCAGAAATTGATATTTTCTTACAATTCTGGGCTCATCTTAGAGGAAACCCAGACCTATAAGAACCTGTGCATTGGGCCTGTTTTTGAATTGAGCCTCTGGTGAAAAGAGGGGCCAAAGTTTGGTTCCCCATTGATTTTTCACGAGAATCAGATATTTGGCCAGTTTAAAGAAAAAAACAAAATATTGTATTGTTGTTTTTTGCTGTAATGGGGCTCCG